TGAATTCATGGTGTGTAAACAAATTATCGAACATTGTGAAAGTTCCGAATGTATGACACAGCAGGGCATGCTTATGGCAAGCGCGGCTGCTAACATAGGATTGTGCGCAACAATAAACCCAGGTATATTTTCGATGCAAATTAACTCACTAAGGTCCCGTTTGGACATTGTGCTTTGTACTCAAAAACCCGGTAGTGGTTTGCTGGTGTAGGAATTGCTGCATTCGAGATAGCATACGTGCAGTGGATAGAAGAAGAAGACCGGAAAATATTGAATCTCCGAAATGCCCTTCAGTCCCCTATGAGTGATGCTGAGCTACGCATGACAGTCAATAACGTGTTGGACCACTACCGCAATTTGTTCTGCATGAAAAAAGATGCCGCAAGAGCCGATGCTTTCTACTTAGTGTCCGGCATGTGGAGGACCTCGGTCGAGCGCTTTTTCCTCTGGATTGGCGGGTTTCGGCCATCTGAACTCATAAGCGTGAGAAAATTCACTTCTTCCTTTTTTTTTATATATATTTCCCAAGAAAGACGAAAGTATAGATCACACCGTGTTTTGAAAGTTGCGCGAATTCATATTCGTGCGTGTTTAACTTAACAGGTGGTGATGCCCCAGCTGGAGCCGCTGACCGAGCAGCAAATGGCGAGTGTACGTGGATTGAGGCACTTGTGCACTCAGGCAGAGGATGCCCTGTCTCAGGGTTTGGAAAAGTTGCAGCACACACTGGCTCAAGCCATAGCCTCGTCGGGTGCTGTGGGTTACAGCTGTCATCCCGCTCTCGATCGGCTCAACTCTCTAGAAGGCTTTGTAAATCAGGTCGATATTCCGAGTTCCCAGTTCCTACAATATGCATGAATGTATATTGTGTATATATACATTGGTCTTGTCATTTTTTTTTTTTTTTTACTTATTCCAAAAATTGTATGTATATATATATTTATATTTTTGGTGATGGTTTTGATATTTTTGGCGGGAAGGCGGATCACCTGAGGGAGCAGACTTTGCAGCAGATGGCACGAATACTGACGACCCGACAGGCGGCTAAGGGTTTGCTTGCATTCGGGCAATATTTTCAGAGGCTAAGAGCTTTAGGTTCGTTGTGGGCGGCTCGTCCTCCTCAACAGCCTGCATAATAATATCATGTGGAAAAAAAAAAAGAAGAAAGAGCGAAAAAATAGTAGAAGTGAGATGGGTAGACACTGTTGTTTCATGAGATGCTCGTGATTTTTGCAAAGGGGCTCAGTTATAAGAGCTTCAACTGTTCGGTGTACATACTTATTTTCTCGGTTGTATAATATAGTTTCATGAGTATGTTAATTTGGCACTTCACTCTAGTCTTCTAAATTTGTCTCGTCAGACAGACGCTTGACAATGCCCAGCAAGACCTGCCCTGTTCTGTCCTGTCGCGAACTTCTCGTTCGCAAGCCCACAGGTCGAAGGAATAAAATTTCCACGATTCTTGTTCGCGGGTTATAGGCAATGCCTACATATTCAGGCTCTTATATCTGCACTTGAAGGCTGAAGCTGATTCATTTAGGCAAAACTGAATAAAAACTTACTTCAAATACTCACCATGAAGCACATGCACCCTAAGAATAGAAGGCGCATGCAACTTTACGCATCATAATCATCACTACCAACATCAGGTTCAGAGATCTCGCCATTGACAAAACCGAGCTTTCTTTTAGCTCCTATAGAGCTATCATCATAGATCGACGCCACGAAAGGAAGTTGTTGCCAGTCAATTGATTCGAAACTAGCACCAAGCCAGGATGATCGGATCCTGATTCCCCTGACCACACCAAATGAACTTAGATAACTCATTAGACATTTAGTTTAAACCTTAAAATGAATTGGTTTGCATCGAGTTATTTGACCGTGATTGAATATAAAATAAAAGGACATTTTAATCTCATTCAAGAATTCGTAATATTAATAAGTGAGATAAATGGAAATATTTTTACTTCATAGTTTAAATTAACATTTTCTTTTCGACGATCGACCAATCTAATTTTTAACACTTACTGATGGGGATGAGACCGCGATGGCGTTCTTGGACAAATACGACCGGCTCCGCATTTAGTGCTTTACTTCCTACATATTATTTATCTTTTATTTAGTTTATTTTCTAGTTATAGGAATAATGTTGGTAATTAAATAATTATCTTGTTTAGCAAGATAAGTGGTAGTAGGACTCTTTTATGCTTATATGTTGCTTCTGCTGGAGAAAATAAACAGATTTATTCATTCTTCAGATTTATTAAACGTGAGTTGTTCACTTTCTTCCCTTTCATCTACTACGCTTCTGCATCAGTTGGTATCAGCTGT